TCCCACATAGGGCGTTCTGACTTTACGGAGGCGCGAGCACAAGTCACTACGCAAAACAGAAGTGGTTGCACCGGTGTCAACGAGAGCTTGCACAGGAATACCTTCAATAGTCACTGACAACATATTAGCTGGGCGAACAGGAGGTATTTTTGTTGGTCGACGGGACGCAGTTTTCCCTCCAAAAACTGCAATCCTTAGTTTTCCGAAGATTGGTCAACAGGACGGGAGATGATTGGACGAAGTGGCGATGCGGAGCGGCGATAGGGCGATGGAGAGCGTCGTCTGGAGGAGCGGTATTCCTGATGTTGACGAGGGGACACTGGAGGAGACGGAGACCGGTACTGCGCGGACGGGTAGGTGTCTGGAGCATAAAGATCTGGTCTTCGGAACCGGTCTCGTTCGAACTCAGCATAGCCTCGTCGTTCCTCTTGCTGGCGGCGACGGCAGTAACGAGAAATGTGGCCTCGTATACCGCAGTAAAAGCAAACAGGACGGGATTGACGCCACTGAGGATACAAGGGTGCAGCAGTCATTCCACCTCGCATAGCAGCCAAATGGCTACTAGCAGTATCCGTAGAGCTAGATGCCCCGGGAGCAGGCGGAATCGCAGCGATCTCCGCATATGTGGGCATTACCGTTTGAACAACCGGTGCTGCCGGTGTCGACCTGGGCGTCACATCGGCGTATGTGGGCATCGGGCGTGGATCACTGTCTTGTTGAAGCCGAAGGGACTGCAACTGGTCAAGGCGTTGGCATGTCGAAATGACGTCGTTAACCGTAGCGGGATTGCCAACAGCCAAGGCGTTGAATGCGATTGGGCCGATTCCTTTAAGGATGTGGCGAACGCGCTCATCTTCCGTCATGTCTTTATTCGCACGGCGACAGAGGGCCAAAACATCCTCGATATACGAAGTGTACGACTCATGTGCCAGTTGTAGACGCACAGCCAGCTTCTGTTTCGCGGCTTCGGAACGACCCGATGAGCATCCGAATATTTGTCGCAGTTTGTTGGCAAAGGTCGACCAATCAACGAAGTCAGTTTCGTGATTAAAATACCAGGTTTTGGCTACGCTGGTCAAATAGAAAGGAAGGTAGCTCAGTTTCTCTGCTTCGGTCCATCGATTGGCTGAACCCACACGGTTGTAAAGGTCAAGCCATTCCTCGACGTCGTCACCGCGAAGACCCGCGAACACGGGCGGTTCGCGCTGAGGGCTGGTGACAGTAGATGAAGAGCGGGCAGCCGCCGGCGTAGGGGCTGTAGCGTTAGGGCTAGGCGTTAGGTCCGATGTCTGCATACCTGTGTGGGTGGCTGGGTGCCTGCGTCTTTCAATATATATATATATATATATATATATATATATATATATATATATATATATATGTATATATACGTGGAAGAAAACGGCAACAATTGTAAATTAACTAACATATCAAGTGATTTGTGATTAGCTGTTTGAATTTTAAGGGGTTTTGTTCGTGCACTATGGATTCAGGCAGGTTATTCCAGTCTTCAATGGTAGTATGTAAAAATGATTTATTGAAAGCGTTAGTTGAACCATGTAAGCGCTGTAAACATAGGGAGTTAAAGAGTCGCAATTCTCTCTGCCACTCTCTTTCTATGCAATACTGAACGACGCTACGCTATGTTCCGCTGTCGTGCCTGGATAGCCGAGTCGTGACGACAATCGCACTCGTATTGTGTCGTCGTCGTCATTATCATCATAATCATCATCATCATCTCCAGCCTGACTACGTCTACTGCAGGGCAAAGGCTTCTCCCATGTTCGTATCGTGTACGTAGGTTCAAACCCTATCTTGACGAGAAAGTTTTTTCGCCTAGGTTTTTTTTTTCGTCTCTGTATCCCCTTTCATTCTTTTGTGATCTTTCTCTGTGCACTCCTTTCTCGGCCATAACATTTACCGCATCTCCTGATGCACAAATGGCATCAGGAGTTCTGTAACCGAAACAGAAGACGAAGAAGTGGTCGAGGAGAGCACACGCAGGTGCATGATGATACACTATTTGCTTAACGTTACGTTAAAAATTTTATCTCCAAGTTATTTAGGTCTTACTAAATATTAATCATAAATCCAGTATGTGTTATCCGCCCGACCCTTGGTCGATCCCCATGAGGGGGTAGGGGCCAATATTCCAATAATAATAATAATCATCATCATCATCACCACCACCACCACCATCATCATCATCATCATCATCATCATCATCATCATCTTCATCGGAAAGAGAGATTAGATATTATTACATTAAAATGGCTATTAGTGCAATTCATTGTCGAGCGAAAGTTCATGGTAGCCGACGTTGACATCCTTTATTTTCGTTGAAAGACGCCTTGAAACGCAGTGCGGGTATTCGGTACGTCGGTATGCGGTGGGCGCAATCCACGACTGTTTAAAAAAAAACAATAGTCTTTCTGGGGAAACTTCGACAAAGAATTTTGGTCTGTCTGTCCGTCTGTACATTTGTCTCTTTGTCCGTTCTAACGATACCTCAAACGGCATCAAACGGCCAACCCCATCCGCAGCGCCCACCAATGTTGCTCAAGGTTTTGCGTTCATAGCTGTGCGATTGTCAATTAAAAAGCAATTATTGCGCATATATGAGGTACCACAGCAACGCTTCGATGTTTTGTGAGTCTGCCTTTATACTAGAAGAGGCACACACAAGTAACTCTAAGGAGTGTAGCGTTTATCGCGCTGCGCTGACAGTGATACGCGGTGCTCAGAAAGGTGTTTCCAACGCTGTGCTACGAAGTCACGGTGGTGGCACCTGCCCGTCGCTCTGCGTTCTACACCTTATCACCTCCGAGACTGGCGCGCACTTTTCTCCGCGGGCTGCACGCCTTCATTTTCGAAGATAGCTGCCAGATGGCGCTTGTGTCTTACGTGATAGCTGCCAGATGGCGCTTGTGTCTTGCTCAAGGTTTTGCGTTCATAGCTGTGCGATTGTCAATTAAAAAGCTATTATTGCGCATATATGAGGTGCCACAACAACGCTTCGATGTGTGAGTCTGCCTTTATACTAGAAGAGGCACACACTGAAAATGTGACGCAACAGGCCACATTTTTTAGCGGTCTTTACTGTACAAAGCAAGGCCATGTTAAACCCATGGGGATCGTAGGTACATGGAATCGAATCCCACATCGTGAAGAAATCCATGTCAGCCAAGTCATGAGAATGATAAGTATTCTTAAAACTTTATTTTGTTCCGGAGAAGTCACAGGGGAGACCCCGCGCCACCCGGCTGTTAGTTTTTTCTTAAGCAGGAAATTGCCAAGTAAAGGATCTATGATAATACTCGGGGTAGTTCTCTACTGTTTGAGGCAAGGAAGGGAGTACTGCGAACCAAGAAATATCGGGCCAAATACGAAGGGGTAGACACAGTATGCAGTGCGTGTGGGGAGGAAGAAGAAACTGCCGAACACTTGATAATGTTCTGTAAAGGGCTTCACCCTATAGTTCAGGATGATGGCGCAGAGTTTTTCAAAGCACTGGGGTTTAGGGACCGGGAGGGCAAAATAAACTTTAAGCGGGTAGACTTAACTAGAAGGAGGTTATCTGATTGGTGGCTAAAGTCAAGGCACGAGTGAAAATTAAACTCTTCACTGCAAAGTACGAATCCTCAAACTCACTTTTTAAGGAAAAAATAAATAAATATCGTTTTTGGTTGATTAGGTATTATGGCTTGGTGGCGCTAGCCACCGCCCGATCTGGGTACAGCCATATCCATCCATCCATCCATCCATCCATCCTCGATGCGCTCGTTCGACTCCACTACACGCTCGAGGCACTCTAACACAGCGCCTCCAGAATACCATTCACCGATTTTCTTGCGCAGAACATCAAATAAACGTTTTGTTCACTCTCTCCAGACGCAATACTATCGTTTTTCGATGACATTTGCGGTGTAACATGCGGATTTGGAATCAATTTTTTTGCTCCCTTTTCTTCTAAATGTGCGTTGCTGAACGTCTACCAGTGCCAATGCAGACGGTTTTGTCAATACAGCTTTCATGATTGTGCCGTGTGCTTCAGAGCGACGCAACAGGCCACATTTTTTAGCGGTCTTTACTGTACAACGCAAGGCCATGTTAAACTCATGGGGATCGTAGGTACATGGAATTGAATCCCACATCGTGAAGAAATCCATGTCAGCAAAAATTTCTTCCTCTCTGTCGGTGCTTGGTCTCTGTTTCATGTGACCGTTAATTATCACACGATGGACGAATCGGCGCACATTTTCAGTGAGGAAGCCAGACGATGAAGACAAGGACAAAAAAAAAAAAAAAGAGCGCGTACCAAGTCATGAGGATGATAAGTATTCTTAAAACTTTATTTTGTTCCGGAGAAGTCACAGGGGAGACCCCGTGCCACCCGGATCCCGGATGTTAGTTTTTTGTTACACACACACACACACACACACACACACACACACACACACACACACACACACACACACACACACACACACACACACACACACACACACACACACACACACACACACACACACACACACCACACACACACACACACACACACACACACACACACACACACACACACACACACACACACACACACACACACACACACACACACACACACACACACACACACACACAACCGGGAACGCTCCCTCACGCATAAGTAGATAAGGCAACCCAACCACCAACCGAGACGCAATCTTCCGAGAAGCGTTTATTTCCGCAGGGACAGAGTTGCTGCAGCCTTTTTTTTTCGCTTCTACGGTACGAGAGCAATAAAATGTTTGCTCCGGCAACCCTGACTTTACGGAAAAGACCATCATCTGTGGGCTCTTCCGATGTAGATTGTACCGCATCTTCCGACGCGATAGCAAAGTGGTCCACATCCCCAAGGAGCACTCGGAGTGCATAGGACTATGACAGCGCATATGAAAAAAAAAATATAACAGAAACGAATTCAGGAAGCAGATTCTCACGAAAGTGTGCTAGCGTATATGGAAATAGACGACTCGGAAGGCATAGTGAATGCCTCTGGTATGCCGCCTAGAGTGAGTGTTTTATTGCGCCATCGCGGACGCGATATGCAGCGGTTGGTAAAAGGAGCTAGACCTAACCTAAATCCCGCGATTCTTATGTCTTCGGAAGTCTCTTAGAACACCAGACTACATGAAAATCGTTCGTGATGAGACTGTGATTAAGGCAGGATATATTACAACCTCTAAAGGTAATGGGTGATTTCCGTGATGACTAGGATTGGCCGTGTGCATTAACACGATTGCATATTCACCTGATGAAGATAATCTGACCTATGTTAATAGGAGTTGCAGTGCAAGCACGAAAGTGCTAGAAGGAAAGTGTTAGAAGGAAAGCAAAGAACGGAAGGCAAGAAGGGACAATACGAGAGTCTTTGCCCTTCGTTCCTGGCGTTCTGTACGCTTTTATTCTAGCACCTTCGTGCTCGCGCTACAGCCCCTATTAACATGAAACTTGACCAACGAGCACCAATAGACGTTCTTCTTTAATCTAACCTAACAACAGCCCCGTTTGGCTTACGGGTAATGCAGATAACCCATCAAGGATGCATTTTCTCTTCTGAAGAAGGTTTCGGTCGATTCATTATGTCGAGACGTCACTCAGCTGGAGTACGACACAAGACACAGCGTGCGTGCTGTGCCACGACCAAGAAGTTGCAGCAGGCGCATTTCTTTCCAGAATTCTCTGGGAGTTTCTGACCTCGCTGCTGCTGACGCTATTCCATTGTTCTACATGTCTCAGCAGTCTCTCGCTGGCAAAGTATTTCGCCATGCATATTTCCTTCCGCATACGTACGACTGGCTTACAACACTCTTTGTAACAATAGTCACAGCGAGGAGATATTACCCTTTGGGACTGTACTCGCAGCAATACGCAGAGAACAATCGCTCGCAGTCGCTCTAGCTCGTCTTCACCAAAAGCCGCTGACGAAAGTAACCCTATTGGAATGTCGTTCTCAGAAGCAATCGGGGGTGAGGGTGACGAAGGTGCTGCTGAAATTCTTGAAGACAACAACGGCGCACCGATGGTCGTAGGCCAACAGCAGTACTGTGACAAGTGTGACTTTGTGCTTCTGCGCTCTCCCTCATCTTCCTTCTCTCTCTTTCTCCTCCTCTAACGTTTAATCTCCCGTATCTAACTTCTCAGCGTAAGGTAGCATACCAGTGTTTTTTTTTTAAACGGTTGACACTCCTGTCTTTAATCACCTTCCTGTTTTTTCTTTTCTTCCCAAACGAACAAGTAATGTAACTTTTCGCACCTTTATCTCGCCTCCAGCAGTTGAAAACAGAAGGCGTGCCGCGTACGCAAGCTCACGCTAGCCTAGGCTGGGTGGTTGGTTGCGTTTGGCCTTCCCCAAGGCTGATTGCTTCCAAAGGGGCTACCTTTCATTCTCCTCCCCCTTCCTTAAACAATTCGTTTTCGCGCGAATATATGGGTACACACACCTTAACCTACATAGAGTGGTTGTCCCGGTCCCATATGCACGAAAAATATATCTGGTTACTTCTCTGGTTTTCGAAAAAAACGTCTACGCATACCCGGATAAGGTTATATAAAAAGAAATTCTAAATGTGAAAATAAATTAGTGTTTTTCAACTATGGCCCCGTAGTAACTTAAACTGTAGCTTTTTTATGCTAGACCTAACTAAGTTTACAAGGTAACCTTTCCTGCGAACGTACCGCTGATGTATTATTGCCGCAAAACTTCGTGCTGTGTCGTACAAACATGGCACTATTTGTACACGGCACCAAACATAGACACCACCAACTGTACACCGCACCAACTGAGACTGAGACATAGAGATCATGCACTCGCTGCTGTGTTTCTCAATCTTTACAGCTACACAAGGGAACAGATGCGGATATACGTGCAGCGACCGAATATTGCGTTGAACAGCAGAATCTATGTATATGCCCGTCACTTTGAGTCACTGCCGAACGTGTACGGCGGTGCTGAAACGGGTCAGCTTCGACACCGATGTCATAGCAACACCGTGGTACAAGAAGGGAAGTACCACCATCATAAACAATTCGCTAACCACACTGTAACCTTTTCGCGTGGGCCCCTTTCAACAGAGAAATGCTTTTACCTCGACGCCACATGGGGCTGTCGTTAGGCATCCATTTTCTTTTTTCCATCCACACACCGGTGTTTCTCGGAAAAAAACGGGAAATATCCACATATGGACGTTTCGTCATAGTCCCGGATAGAAAGAAAAAAATGCGCCAAACGTAGGGAACAATAAACGTGGAAGCCGATAAACGTCGAGTGCGTGACGTATGAGTTTCTCTCCCTCTCTCTTTGGTGAGGGCTTACAGTGTGCTATATTTTTCCAACCGCAGAACAGTGAGGGATATGGCTAACTAACTTCGTAGTTGAACTTACTTACAGCACAACACCAGAAAAAATACAGGACAGGGAAGGAGCAAAAGAGAAAGAAAAGACGGCGGTTTCTTTCTCTTTTGCTCCTTCCCTGTCCTGTATTTTTTCTGGTGTTGCGCTGTAAGTAAGTTCACGATGGATCCTAACCAACTGGCCCAACTAACCGTCTTACTTCGTAGTTGAGCCGTATCCAAATCCACATGAGCCAAACTGTCCGTTGTGTTGTTACGGCGCTTCGTTTCAGCGCGAACTCGACACGAGGACTGAGGATTGAAGGCGCGAACAAGAGACCGCGTAGCGTTTCGTGGATTACATGTTTCGCAATATGAGGAGTGTTCTATTCAGTATTGTCTAGTTTTAGCTTCTCAATTCGGTTTAAAAGCCTGCGACAAAGTATCACTTTGATTACTCTAGCTATTGTTGTATTCTCGAAATATTTTGAAAGCTTTGGTTGCTACTGTATAAAAGCTTACACCACTGTCCGTAATTGTAATATTTTGAGTCGGGCAAAAGTGACCGTGAAGTTCGTCGGTTAAAGCCTGTGAATGTTTGTTTCGAATAAAATGTTGTGGAGCTCAGGACTGTTTTGAAAATGAAACTAATTCTATTCTAATCGGTGCCATCACTATTTGACTCGTATTCGATTCATTTTCATATAATTCTCACTATTCGCACACAACTACAATTTATGTTTTGACGTTGCTGTGAGAATGAATGGTGTCTACGTTCATGTCAGAGTCTCTCTCTCCCTCTATGCGCATATATATATATATATATATATATATATATATATATATATATATATATATATATATATATATATATATATATATATATATATATATATATATATATATATATATATATATATATATATATATATATATATATAACGGCGTATATTCGTGAGTGCGCGTCAATATTTGTTTAAAGACCTAACTTATTTCGGGTGGACAAGTAATGCATTCGAAACACCAGCCAAAGCAGTCTACATTACTAAGTCCAGAGAGAGAGAGAACGTAAGGAGTAAGGCAGGGAGGTTAACTAGACTGAGCCCTGGTTGGCTACCCTGCACTGGGGAAGGGGAGAGGGGAAGTAAAGTTATAGAGGAGGAAAGAAAAGGTCACTGACTGTTTCACCATCATAAACAGTTTCACCATCACAAACGACGAAACGGGCTGGTGTCTTCGAGAAAATGCAACAGTGCTTTCGTTGCCTTTCGGAAATTGGACGGGCAGTGCCATGGTCCCAATACTTTGTCGACAGTGAAATCACTCCTGTCCAGTTGATTTAAAGCACTGCGCAGGTGAAGCCTCTCGTCTGTGTATGAAGTCCGTGTTCATTACTAAGTAATGGTGTAATACTTCGTGAGCCTCTCGACCCTTACGAAATATTTTTGACCACCTTTGCCAAGGTCTTTCGTGAGTGCTCGCCAATCTTTGATTTTGGCAGGGATATTCGACGTTCATGTTTATTTAAAGCAGTGCCATGGCGACATGAAGGCGCCAGTGCCAGCTTCCAGGGCGTATGAACAGAGAGATTCAAAAGAAGCATTTAAGAGTGCCACTAATAAATATTGTTACGTGATTTCGGCTGACTGAAACAGGGCATAGTGAGACATACCCAAGAAAGGTACCTCAGACTGAGAGGGAAGAAGGGGACGTTGTAAGTGAGCTGCGTTGTGGCTGCGGACTGACTACTGTTATTTTCCACGTAACAATATCAATCTAAAACTTAACATACATGTAGCTTTACGACAGTTTTATGAGCGTTGCATGCGTATATCGTATTTCAGACAAAAAGCGTTCTTCTTTTTCAAGATGAGCAGAACGAAAGCTTCAACTCCTCATTTAAAAACGACACAGCCTTATTAACATTCTTTGCCCGAGAAAGAGAAAAAAAAAGCACACTTAATCAACGTACATGTCGTTTAATATATTTAATAACGGCGTATCACGGCTAGCATTGCGGGAATTTTGAACTGCCGTGACAGGGACCAGCAAAACCCCGGTAGAAGACGCACAACACTGCAGGTCTGCTAGCAATCGGCATTGGCAAAAAATAATGCTTTCCAGGAGCCTCGACTCTGCGGTATCGCGATTAAAAAATTCGACGGTCCTCTCTTAGCATTACACGTCCGATATGTCAGCCTTTTATCGGATTTCTCCAGTCTTCCGGCTTCCCATGCTTACCCTTTACACCCTCTCTCACTATCCTCTTCCAACACGCGCCGACAAACACGCGCACCATTTTTTTCCCCGGTCCTTTGAAAAGCAGATGAGAACAACAGCGCCGTAAATTGCTTTCCCAAAGTCATACAATCTGACGTGAGAAAGGAAGCAGCGCTCATTAAAATTCAGTAAACAAGCGCTGTACTGAAGTGGGATGCTAATCGCTTCGAGGAGCCATGGCTGTCAACGCTCTTCACCGCGCGTCATTGTCGCGCCGAAATGAACGAGATTTCCGGCGGATCTGAGAGTTTTAAACGCTTGGATTCGTGAAAAAAATGCCGTACGATGGCTTCTGAGAGGGAAAGCGTCGTATTTATTGCTTTAACGCTTCCTCGCATATCGTTAAAGCTTGAGCGCCTCGGTGGGAGAGAAAAAAAAAAGGAAGCGAAGCGGGAAAAAG